TACTCGGATGGAATGGTGGTGAATCTCTACCTGGCCGTACGGCTCTCTCTAGTAGACTCGGTTTGGATGGATGGTGACACGAAGGAACAAGGTAACAATGGATCGAGAGACGCCACACAGAGGATGGAAACTCTATGATAAGTCTTTATCTCAGCCTCAAAGGAATCACACCAGAGAAGAAGAGATAAAACTAGCTGCGGCTAGGGTTTTGTTCTCTAGAGAAAACTCGATTATTTTTTTAATCAAGGGTAAATGTTTACATGCTGAGAAGGAACTTTATAAACTGGTACGACTGCGGGTGGCTTCTCTTGGCGGAAAAGATTACAAAAAGGAAACTATGAAACTCAACGTTTAACTTAAAAGAAAAAGAAAAAATTCTAAAATCTCTCAAACGACTAAGGACAAGTTCCTGAAAAAAAAACAATAAACTTGTGAGAATAGTCCAAATGTAAAAACTTAGATTGGCTCGAGGAGTGGAATTTGCCCTTGTTTGGACCCTGACAAACAAGGCTGCTTCCTTGTTGCCTTGTAAGACCGGCAAGAATGACAAGGTTTGGAGCCTGAGTTGCACGTAATCATTGCTTGGTGTTTCCTTGGTGTTCTTGGCTTCTTGAAGGTCCTTGAACTAGGTGAGATTTGATCCGTCCATGTCTTCCATGACTGGTGGCTCTAGTGTGTTGAACTCGGTCAAGGGCTTCATTGGTGTCTCTCGGGTAATCTCTCCTTTGAGTAGCTTCTCCTTGAGCTCCTCGTGCTCTATGAGAGTAATCAGCCCTTCTATAGATTTGTTGAACTCCTCTCTTAAGCTTTAGTGCCTGATCTTATTCTTGGTGCATGTCTCATGGTGGGTATGTTGATCGGCTCTTCATCAGCTAGTGTGATGCTTGTCTCAATGACCTCAGAACACGATCACCTACATGAAAGGGAGATAAGTCAGTAACATTAAAGGTTGGAGAAAAATTCATCTCACCTGGCAGCTCAAGCTTATATGCGTTCTCATTGATCTTCTATAGAACTCGGAAAGGTCCATGTCCTCTTGGTAAAAGTTTTGATCTCCTCTGGTTTGGGAACCTCTCAGCTCTCATGTGGAGCCAGACCCAATCTCCTGGTTCAGACGTGAGCTGCTTTTGGTGTTTGTCAGCTTGTTGATTGTACTTCTCCAAGTTCTCCTTGACTCGCAGGTGCAATTTCTTCACAAAGTCAGCTTTGGTGTCTTCTTCTGCACTAGAGTAAACAGCTTGGGAAAGCGGTGAGAGATCTAAAGAGGTCAAGGGGTTGAACCCATAAACAACTTCAGATGCTGATTGTTTAGTGGTCGAGTGTTTAACATGATTATAAGCAAACTCGATATATGGTAAACAAGATAACCAATTCCTCAAGCTCTTACCCACCGTAACTCTCAACAAGGTGGAAAGTGTCCAGTTTGCTACCTCTGTTTGGCCATCAGTTTGTGGATGGCAAGTGGTGCAGAAAAGCAGCTTGGTTCCTAGTTTCTTTCACAAGTCTTCCAAAAATGGCTGTGGAATTTGGTGTCTTGATCAGAGACTATGGTCCTTGGAACTCCATGTAAACGCGCCACTTCCTTGGAAAATAGATCTGCGGTTTGAGTGGTATCATTGGCCTTGTTACATGGAATAAAATGGGCCATTTGGAGAATCGGTAAACCACTACGAAGATTGAATCCTTGTTGTTGATCTTGGGCAATACTAGAACGAAATTCATGGAGATATCTACCCATGGTAGGTTAGGGATAGGCAAAAGTAAGTAAAGACCATACGGATGTGACCTGGATTTTGCTTTGAGGCAAGTAATGCACTTAGCACAAAATCTCTCTACATCTCGTTTCATATGTGGCCAGTGGAAGTGTTCCATCAGCACACTTAGGGTCTTGTCTCTCCCAAAATGTCCCATGAGCCCTCCCCGTGAGCTTCTCTGATTAGTAACTCTCGCATGGAACCTTGCAGCACACACAACCTCTTATCTTTGAATAAAAACCCATAATATTGATAAAATGAACCATAAGCCGCCTTGTGGGTCTCTTGGAAAGCTTCCTGAAAATCGGGGTCATGCTAATAAAGTGACTTATATGCTCAAAACCCAATACCTTGGCCTCCAATGTGGAAATGAGAGCATGTCTCCTAGACAGGGCATCAGCGACTATATTTTCTTCCTCTTTCTTATACTTAATGATATATGGGAAGGTCTCAATGAACTGTAGCCACCTTGCATGTCTCCTCTTAAGCGTGGTTTGTCCTCTCAACTGTTTGAGAGTCTCGTGATCTGTATGAATAACAAATTCTTGGATAACAAGTAGTGCTGCCAAGTTTCAAGGGATCTTACTAGTGCATAAAGCTCTTTGTCATAGATGGGATAGTTCAATGAGGCTCCACTGAGTTTCTCACTAAAGTAGGCTACGGTTTTCCCTCCTTGAGTTAGCACAGCTCCTATACCTGTTCCAGACGCATCACACTCAATCTCAAAGGTTAGTTCAAAGTGTGGGAGTACCAAAACAGGCGCATGTGTCAAACGATCCTTGAGCTAGTTAAATGCATCCTCTTGTGCCTGTCCCCACTTGAACTCCACATTTTTCTTGACCATCGAAGCCAGTGGTGCTGACAAGGTGCTGAAATCCTTGACAAACCTCTGGTAAAAGCTTGCGAGGCCATGAAAAGTCCTCACATGGCCGATAGTAGTTGGTGTAGGCCAATCTTGTATTGCCTTGATTTTCTCTTCGTCAACTTTAAGGTCCTATGAGCTAACAACAAAGCCTAAAAATACTACCTGGTCAGTGCAAAATATGCATTTCTTAATGTTTGAATTTCTAGTCGAAGTGTCTCTAGAACCTGTGAAAGATGCTCCAAGTGATCTGCAAGACAAGTACTATATATTAGTATGTCATCGAAGTATACCACTACAAACTTACAGATATACGCCCTGAGAACGTAATTCATGAGTCTCATGAATGTGCTTGGTACATTTGTGAATCCAAACGGCATCACTAGCCACTCATATAGCCCTCTCTTTGTTTTGAAAGTTGTTTTCCACTTGTCTCCTTCCTTCATGCGCACTTGATGGTATCCACATCTCACGTCAATCTTAGAGAAGATGGTGGCTCCGTTGAGCTCGTCGAGCATGTCATCAAGTCGGGGTATAGGATGCCTATATTTGATGGTGATGTTGTTGATGCTCTACAATCAACACACATACTCCAAGAGCCATCTTTCTTGGGCACCAGCAAGACAGTGACAACACATGGGCTTAGAATCTCACGTATATACCCTTTTGACATTAGGTCTTGCACTTGCTTCTCTAATTCTTTGGACTCCTTGAGATTTACTCGGTAAGCGGCTCGGTTTGGCAACGATGCTTCAGGGATCAGATCAATCTGATGCTATATCCCTCTAATGGGAGGCAAGCCTGGTGGGATCTCATCTGGAAACACATCAGAATAACGATCCAACAGTTCCTTCATGGCTGTAGGGAGCTCTTGTTGTTCCTGACCTGAAAACAAACGTTCCTTGAAGATCATTAGTAGCACCTTTTCTTGCAAATCAAGAGACTTAATTACAACTGTAGGTGTAAACATAGAGGTTAGTTTTACTTACCTCCGAACCCCTTGACATGGCTTTGTGCATTTCATGCACTTCTTAAGGGGTGAGTGGTGCTAAATTATGCTTTTTTTTTGTCGTGTGTGAAGGTATAGTAGTTGGTGTGGGCATTGTGTAAGGTCTCCTTGTCAAATTGCCAAAGTCTACCAAGCAACAAGTGTCCAGCCTGCATGGGAACTACCTCGCACACTACCTGATCTGTAGAATTACAAATGCTGAAGGGCACGGTAACTTGCTCGGAAATCTTGAGCTTGGTCTCATCATTCAACCATTTGAGTTTGTATGGCCGAGGATGCCTAGTCTTTTTGAGTCCTAGCCTTTCAAAAAGATACTTGCTAGCCATGTTAGTGCAAGAACCTCCATCAATGATTAAGCTACATACATTGGAGTTTATGGTGCACCGTGAGTGGAATATGTTCTCCCTTTGAATTGTTTCTGGCTCGTTAAAGTTGTGGTGTTCAAGTAGTTTTACTCCGGTTAGTGGAAGTGTTCTTCCTCTTAATGTGTTGCTCAGCTTGCACGGCATGGTGTAGCACGTCCTCCAAGTCATGGTAGGTCTGCCTCTCGACTTTTCTCGCAATTCGATCATTGACTGCATCAAAAAGTCCTAATGTGTATCAGCTAGGCTATGTCTTGTCGAGATGCCAGATTTGGATAGGTCGAAAGAAGAGAATGGTAGCCAAGCTCTTCATCTTGCATGTTGGAATATTTGGTCTTCACCGGAACAGTAGAGTCCCTTTGAAGTGCGCTAAAAGGGTGTTAGATGAAGAAGCTTTTGAGAATTCACAGTGGAGTTGGCTTGCTTTCAAGATTTTAGTAGAGTCCATTAGAGTTGCTTCTTTTGATAGAGATAGTTATACTCTTCATGGATTTGTGCATGCGGTGCTTATTTGGGCATATGAGTCAGTGTCTATATTGGGAGAACAGTTTGAGAAGAGAGTACAAAACGACCAAAATCCTGATACAATTCCTCTCCTACGGTGGCATTCATCTCGTCCGCGTTTCAATCTTGAGAATGTTATGGAACAGGGGAAACGTAATTCAGATGACAACAAGGTATGTAATGATTTTTTTATGGTATACTTTGGAGAGTATGGTAGATTTTGTTTTTAGACTTTGGACGACATATAATAGATGTATGGTATTGTGTAGATAATGTATAGTAGATTAATATTATAGTTTGGATAAAGTTTGGTAGATTTATAGGTATCTAGGAAATAGTTTTGATAATGTTTTGGTAGATTTAATAATTTTTATCGTGGTAGATCTATGATACTAACTTCTCTTGTAATTGTTTATAGGTTCGTGTAAGCCATTTGAGGTGAATCCGGTGGAGGAGATATATCCATTTTGGCCTGATGAAGACGCTAACCCAAATGTTGATAAGAAGCTGGATAACATGATCCTAGAAATTCTTGATGGGTACTTGGATGAGTCGTTTTGGGCAAACTGTGAACCCGCAATCAAGTTATCCAAGAAAGAAAAAAGGAAGAAGCATGTTGTTATGATGTAGGAACAAGTGAGGCTTGTTCTTACTCGGATGGAATGGTGGTGAATCTCTAACTGGCCGTACGGCTCTCTCTAGTAGACTCGGTTTGGAAGGATGGTGACACGAAGGAACAAGGTAACAGTGGATCGAGAGACGCCACACAGAGGATGGAAACTCTATGATAAGTCTTTTATCTCAGCCTCAAAGGAATCACACCAGAGAAGAAGAGATAAAACTAGCTGCGGCTAGGGTTTTGTTCTCTAGAGAAAACTCGATTATTTTATTAATCAAGGGTAAATGTTTACATGCTGAGAAGGAACTTTATAAACTGGTACGACTGCGGGTCGCTTCTCTTGGCCGAAAAGATTACAAAAAGGAAACTATGAAACTCAACGTTTAACTTAAAAGAAAAAGAAAAAATTCTAAAATCTCTCAAACGACTAAGACAAGTTCCTGAAAAAAAAACAATAAACTTGTGAGAATAGTCCAAATGTAAAAACTTAGATTGGCTCGAGGAGTGGAGTTTGCACTTGTTTGGAAATGACAAACAAGGCTGCTTCCTTGTTGCCTTGTAAGACCGGCAAGAATGACACGGTTTGGAGCCTGAGTTGCACGTAATCATTGCTTGGTGTTTCCTTGGTGTTCTTGGCTTCTTGAAGGTCCTTGAACTAGGTGAGATTTGATCCGTCCATGTCTTCCATGACTGGTGGCTCTAGTGTGTTGAACTCGGTCAAGGGCTTCATTGGTGTCTCTCGGGTAATCTCTCCTTTGAGTAGCTTCTCCTTGAGCTCCTCGTGCTCTATGAGAGTAATCAGCCCTTCTATAGATTTGTTGAACTCCTCTCTTAAGCTTTAGTGCCTGATCTTATTCTTGGTGCATGTCTCATGGTGGGTATGTTGATCGGCTCTTCATCAGCTAGTGTGATGCTTGTCTCAATGACCTCAGAACACGATCACCTACATGAAAGGGAGATAAGTCAGTAACATTAAAGGTTGGAGAAAAATTCATCTCACCTGGCAGCTCGAGCTTATATGCGTTCTCATTGATCTTCTATAGAACTCGGAAAGGTCCATGTCCTCTTGGTAAAAGTTTTGATCTCCTCTGGTTTGGGAACCTCTCAGCTCTCATGTGGAGCCAGACCCAATCTCCTGGTTCAGACGTGAGCTGCTTTTGGTGTTTGTCAGCTTGTTGATTGTACTTCTCTGTCTTTTTCTCCAAGTTCTCCTTGACTCGCAGGTGCAATTTCTTCACAAAGTCAGCTTTGGTGTCTCCTTCTGCACTAGAGTAAACAGCTTGGGAAAGCGGTGAGAGATCTAAAGAGGTCAAGGGGTTGAACCCATAAACAACTTCAAATGGTGATTGTTTAGTGGCCGAGTGTTTAACATGATTATAAGCAAACTCGATATATGGTAAACAAGATAACCAATTCCTCAAGTTCTTACCCACCGTAACTCTCAACAAGGTGGAAAGTGTCCAGTTTGCTATCTCTGTTTGGCCATCAGTTTGTGGATGGCAAGTGGTGCAAAAAAGCAGCTTGGTTCCTAGTTTCTTTCACAAGTCTTCCAAAAATGGCTGTGGAATTTGGTGTCTCGATCAGAGACTATGGTCCTTGGAACTCCAAGTAAACGCACCACTTCCTTGGAAAATAGATCTGCGGTTTGAGTGGTATCATTGGTCTTGTTACATGGAATAAAATGGGCCATCTTGGAGAATCGGCAAACCACTACGAAGATTAAATCCTTGTTGTTGACACGAGAGATAGTGTGCTCGCGAGAGAGATAGAGTAGGTCATACCAGACGTCAGGGAGTGGATCATCAGATGAGAAATCAAATCCCACAGCCTGTAGTATTGCTGTAATAGTGCTTCCATAAGAAGTAGTAGCATCCTCACAACCATGTAAATCATGCTTCGCCTTCACTATGTTCAGTGCTATGATCCAGGCAAAGCAAGCAAGTCGGGGGTCGTCCATAAATGGTATCTGAAGTGTAATGAGCTCGGTCTTCAGAACGCACTCCATGTTGGCTCTAGAGAAAATCGTGTGTGCCAAGAGTTTGTGCACAACTCTCACGACAGGATGAGTGAGAAGGGCTGACTTGGATCTCCCGCTATCATAGACGCCATGACCCATCTCTCTCTATAAGTCAAAATCAGGTTCTTCTTCGAGGTGAATGCCATCAGTGTATGGAAGCTTAAGAGCTTCACAAAGTGCAGAAATAGTGAGTGAGTAGGTATGTCCGCGGATAGAGAACGACATAATGTCGTCAGATGTTCTGGGGCTCCTCCTCTTCGTGTGGTGGAGGATGACAGTTGCTAAGAACTTGCGGACTAGCTCGGCATAAGTTGGAAGGTTCAGCTCCATGTAGGCTCTCAGCCTAAGTGCATCGATGTACCATATTACATCTTCTCTAATTCCAAGCATCTCGAGTGTATGATAATCAATGCAGGGCATTGGTTTGATGTTCAGCTTCTTGAACGCCCTGCATAGTCAACTCTCGGGTTGATCTCTTTCCCAATATATCGAATCTGTGGTGGCTCAGGAATCGCATGTGTTTCTCTTGAGTGTTGGAGCAGCCTCATTACATAATTTCTTCTTCTTGAACTGGCTTGTTTCAGCATGTACTCTCCAGTAGTACTATCATCGGGAGTTTCCTCAGAGCTGTCACCAGTGCGACAGCTTCTTCGAGACTTGGTTTGTTCCATTTTCCTACAAGACAAGATAATTCCTGGAAAGAGAGTGAATATGCATGCTGAGTTTAACCTATTAATGATCAGTGATACTAATGATAGTGTCAAGAGATTAGTTAAAACAACAAGCAAGCATAATTGATATTAAATCGAAGAAATCAAGTAGTTCATGACCAGATTCGGATTTTTGATGTTCTCAACATAGAAATCTTCTAAAAATTTATTTAATTGAGCAATTTCCATGTCAAATCTATAGGTTACCTAATACTAATCACTAATCACACAAGATTTGACCAAATTCAATCAATTTTACTTTTCCAAATTTGATTTTTAGAAAGCATGTAGAATCCAAATTTCAAAATTCTCAATTCCTCTTAAACTAACTGTTAAAATCGATTTTCAGATAACCCTAGAAGGATAATCTATTATTCTTAAGCTATTTCCACCACTAATAAACTAAGATTTGGGCTTTTTAAGAAAACTCTAAATTCCAAAATCAATTAAAAATGGCGAGTTTGAGCTTCATACCTTGCTGGAAAGAGATATTTGATGTTAGATTTGAAATCAGCTTTGAAAAAAGTGAAGTTTGGGACAAAATTTTCTTAAAAAGCTTAAGAATTGTAAAAGATATTCTATTTCCTAAATCTCCAAGTCTTTTGGAAGAGAAGAAAAAAAGGAGTTTTTTATCCAAAAAGTGTGTTTCCTTTCTTTAAAAAGCGTTTTTGTTGCAAAAACGGGAAATTTTTGTGAATTCCAAGGCTTATGGGAACATACCTTTTTTTGTCTTGTATGCAACAGGGAATTTGAAACTTATGGAAAATCTTGATGGGCTTTTCCGAGAATGTTCCGGGAATCATCGGGAATCGCCGGGAACATCTGAGGTTCCTTCTCAACGACCAACGGCCGCGGTCAGAAGACGCGCGACCGCGGTGAACATAGCATCGGCCGTGGTCACATTCACGGTGAATATATTTGAGATATTTGAGTCCTATTTCTAGAACTTTTAATATCATTCAATTTGGAGTTATGAGGAAGAAGATAACGTTTCTGGAATGGACGCATGTCTAGAAGCCTCTTTCTGACCGTGTCGATGCACTGCAAAGATGAGCCCTCTAAGGAATCTTCCACTTCCCAAGCGCCGAAGGTTCCTTCACCAAAGTTGGAGATGTCTGAGGGTTATTTCCACTGAAGTTGGAATCACACCATTTGGACCAGTATCCTGGGAGTTACTCTCCCACGAATGTGAAGTGGTCCGAGGAGACCTGATACCTGCGAGATAATCTTGCGACGTAGTTAACTCGCAATGCCTGGAGATTAATGTCTGGGGGTTGAGCTGCGTGTTGAGATGTGCGAGTAAGGTATCACTGGGTAAGGTCTAAGGTTCCCGAGGTAGAAAAATACTAAATCCACAAGCATGCGACTTGAGCGTACGAGTTGGCCAAGTTTAGAACTGAGCCGCATGAAGACTCACAATTTACACCGAGTTGAGCATGCGACTTGGGAGTGATGAAGACCATGCCGCACATATTTCTGAAGGCCCCTGCTACATGGTCATGCGAGTTAAGGAGCAAAGGGAACTGAGCCGCATGAAGATTCGCGTTTTACACCGAGAGAGTAATGCGGCTGGGCTTACATAGATTCTATCTCGCTGAAGCTTCTTTCTAGGGTCATGCGAGTTGGGCATGCGACTTGGGACTAAGGGAGGATGAAGTCGCACACATATTCTTCCCAGATTTCGTCTTGGTCATGCGAGTTGAAGAGGAGGAAGACTGAATCACACAAAGACTCGCAGAACACACCTAGATGGGCATGCGGCTGAAACTAAAGGACTTAAGGCTCACAAGACTTCTTCTTTGGCTGTGCGACTTGGGCATGCGACTTGGGAAGCTCCTGACCAACTCGCACACTCGTCACTTTCCCCATTAAAGCCGGGTCAGGACCCGGTTTGTTCCGGGCTGACCCGATTCGTTTTAGAACCTATATATAGTTTTTTAGGGTTTTACCCCAAGGACTTAAGCTTTATTCAACATTCTCTTTGCCTCTTTTGTGTAAGAAAACTCCTTTTGAAGAGAAATATCTGATTTTGGGCGTTTTAATCAAGAGAGTTTGAGAGATCTTGTGTTTAAAGATGCAAATCCATCATTATCTATCTTCTCCATCTACATCTCTCATCATTAATCATGCCAATCTTCTCAACTTGCAAAAGTTTAAGAGAGATTAGCATGATTAGTGAGTAATCCCCATATTAAGGTCTTAGATATGTAGATTAGGGTGCTTAGGTGGTAGATTAGTGAGATTAGGGGTTAGAGCATTCATATTCCATTCTCTACAACCTGTT